CATTGACTCCTGTGATATTTCCGTGGGTTCCATTGACACGAGTGACCTTTGCCTGGGTTCCATTGACACGAGTGACCTTTGTCTGGGTTCCATTGACACCAGTGACCTTTGTCTGGGTTCCATTGACACGAGTGAACTTTGCCTTGGTTACATTGACTCCTGTGACATTTGACTGGGTTACATTCACTTCCGTAACATTTGCCTGGGTTACATTAACAATTGTGATCTCTGCCTGGGTTTCGTTGACTCCTGTGATATTTCCGTGGGTTCCATTGACACGAGTGACCTTTGCCTGGGTTCCATTGACACGAGTGACCTTTGTCTGGGTTCCATTAACACCAGTGACCTTTGTCTGGGTTCCATTGACACGAGTGAACTTTGCCTGGGTTACATTCACTTCAGTGACATTTGGTTTTGTTGTCAAAATTCTTGTGACACCAAAGCCAGTAATATTTGCTCCACCTTTATTAATTCTTTTTGTTTCTTTGAGAACTGGTTTCATATTTCGAGYATCTAAGCCAATTGTATCCTGTGTAGTTTTTCGTCCCACGATGGTTGTTCGTGGCAAAGTATCACTGGTGTTGTTTTTGTCACGAGAGTCTAGGTGCTGGACAGTGAAAGTTGCGGACGGTTCATCTACGTGATGGTTGTCTATGAATCCTAGGGATGTCATYGTTGTCATTTCTCTTACATTTTTATCTCCATCTTCACGCCACCAAATCCTTTCTATTTTGTTTGYATTCTGCTTTAGTTTGTGTTGCACTTTGTTTTTGTTTTCCTTGTTCGTTTTGTCTTYCAAGGAACCAATCGGTAGCAACACCGTCATTTCTGCTGGTTCGGTTCCATTACCTTCTTTCCACCATATTGTCTCACTTTCGTAAGGCATTTGGTTTTGAAGGTCTAAATTTTCTTTCTTGTTGATACTTCTTTTCTGCCGTAAGGTGACAGGATCATCTTCCTTAATAATGGCTTTTTCTTCCGAGATAAAATTACGATTGAAATCCTTGTTTCCTTGAGTTGACTTCTTTACGTTTTTCGTAATAATGCTTCTACTTCTGTTTTGGTTCTCACCATAAGCATTCAAAGATAATGAAGACCTTGGCTTGGTCTGTGGATTTTGTATTTGTGGTTCCAAGGCATCACCATCGCCAATCTGCAGATTGTCTTTGATGGAGCCGAGGTCCATTAGTACAGATAATTCAGAAGGCGATGAACTACTCTTGTCCCGCCACCATATTTGTTTCCTACGTCTTGCCATATTTCTGTTTCCTRACTCACTCGCATAGTCTTCTTTCTTGTCGAGATTTTCATCGACACTTCCAACAATAACGATACTCCATCTTGAAGTTTCATTACTTTGAACAGATCCATTGGATATTTTATTATTACCGTTATTTTTAATATTATCTTTATTTTGATTTTTCGGCGAATAAATAGGAATGAAGCCGTCTTTACTTTTTTGATAACTTGTAAATCTGAAGGGAGTTTTCCCTTTCTTGGCTTTATTCGGGGATGCTTTCTTTCCTTTCTTCATAGAATTTCCCTTTAGTTTCTTAGTTCGTAAAGTCGTCTTTCCATGCTTCCGTTTTAATTTCTTTAGCTTAAGAATGTCTTTATTTTTTAAATTTTTTATTCCCTTCACGTTTCGCAAAAGTATCGTATTGATATCGATAACCCGAACATCTACAGACGTCCCGTTTACCAAAACACCGACAACACTCGACGAATTAATCCCGAAGGACGACAGATTATCGATCCAAAGAAGTTCTTTCGGCGGCACCTTTGTCAGGTTGATCTTGAAGCTGATTTGCGTACAGTTGGTTACCTTGGAGTTCAGTTCATCTGTGAGCCCTCCATAAATTAAGGTGGCAAGTGACGGTATAAGTCCATTGACAACAGCAAATAGAGTTCCGCATATCAT